AGGCTGCTTCAGATCCATCCCCTGTCTGTGTAGAGGGAGCATTTATAAGCCAGACTGTTACAATAAAACTGCACGGCTTGCGAAAATCCTCACCTTCAAAAGAGACCTTTTATCTGTGCCCGCTTTCTCACCTACTACACAATGAATTGGAGAATCTCTGCATGGTACTGGGTATTGCCTGAAAAAAGAGAGCAGCTATAGTAGGGAGGAAAGATTGTTGTTCAGCAGTTACGCACCTAATCAGCCATTCGAGATCAATCATGAAATTGAAGTGGATCGAGAGATGAGGGCGAATTAATTGAAGAATATCGCTGAGATGATAAGCGTCGACGTTGTATTCTTCTGGCAGTCCAGCAACCTAAACAGATTGACTGTGATTTTTCAGATACAAATCCTACATGAAGCAGTAATTACCTTTGTGAGGTACATTCTTCCACTGACAAGTCCAGACGGCGAATCATTACAATTGTTTTGAGCTCCATTACCTCCGCTCATCTGAAAACCAACGGTACTGCCATAAAAAAATCAGAGAAAATGACAACAGGTACAGTTGGAAAATTCCCGGAAACATGTTGTAAAAACGCTCATATTACAACTTCATTTGATAATAACAAGCTCAACAGTTCAACAGTAACACATACATCAAGGAACAGTACATATTATCCCGTCATATCTCGCTTGCGTCCACGTAATCGAATCTCGTCCAGTTTCCTTAGAGATCCAAATTTAGAGGAAATAATGTGCAGAAATATTGAAGGAAACTCACTTCAGAACTGCCATCCCTTGTTTTTGATTGACGCTCTTGTAGCCTTCGAGAACACTCTTGAACATCTCTTCAGAATCAATATGAGTACTGATCATTGCTCTTTCCAGAACGTATAGGTCAACTCCTTTATCCTCCGGTGAAATCTGGATAAGAATAAGAAGGATAAAGTTTTCGCCGTTGACAAATATTTTTCTGAGTTCCTGACTGAAAACCCTGTTGTTTGGAGCTGGTAGGTAGCTTAACAAATGCAGAGCCTTGAAACCCATTTTAAACGGTTTTTTTCATTTTGCAAATATTAGCCCTAATTAACCCATCCCACCAGTAATTGCCGATCAACCCCATGCGATTAGTGCTCGAAGGACAGCTTTTTGGAGTGGCCTAGACTGGGAACATTACCTTTCTGTGAAGTAATTAGCCAATCTACGAATGCAATGAGCAGCCATTCGACCTTCACTAGTTCCCAAAATATGGATATGACGCATAAAACTTCCGCCGTTGATCAATCATTTCAGTGCCACGCATTCTATCTACTTCCCTTCAGTACCGAAGTGGCATACTGAACGGAATGTGATCTACATTTGCGGGGCCAGCCAATGTAGAAGTCAGTGTTCTTATCTCTTCACCATCAGACCAATCTGGTACAAATTTGCTAGCTTGACTGGCCGGAATGGAGCCAATCTGGGAGTTGATCCTCGGACCACGCGTGCAGCTGTTTTCAAAAACTGAGTTGAAGCGTGCACTGATGCATCGCGTCTCTTTTGCTAAAAAAACAGCGAAGTATTGACTAACCTTTCCAAGAGCACATAATCCGAAATCAATGAAATAGGGTCTCTTGTAGTCGCCATCTTTCAGAATAACATTGGAAGTGGTGAGATCGCCATGTATCAGATTACTAAAGTGCATTTTCCCAACCGGCTTCACCAATAGTTTTTCCAAGTTCCAGGGTTTCTGCCTGAAAGAGCGACGGTCCAGTTGCGAAAAAGAAAACCTCTTGCTTTTATCCGTAACAGTGCACCCACCACAAACTGGGCTGATCCGTTCTCTTCCTGTCGTCGTGTTTCAATCCACGAGTTTGCCGTACAACCTTCTATTCGCTCCATTATTATTCTGTTATTATCGCTGTCTATGAAAAACACGGCGGGTGCTCCAATTCCTAACTGGAATTTAGAACTGTATATCGGGAGGTGAGAAATAGAGGGGCTCCTGCAGAAGCTTGGCTCATGATAGCAGCGGTTCACGATCCGTAAAATCTTTCTCATGGCCCTGGGGGAGGGGTAAGGAGCAAGATCATTCCGTCTCGAGTTGTACCACCGGTTTCGTTTCCTAATCCCGGTTTGCTAGATATTCAAATGTAAGAGACCTTACAATAAGGCTTGCAGCCATTCATCAGCAACGCTTCAGAGAAAAGAACAAGCTTTGTCGAAGTGAACTGTTCTCACCTCCTGTGCCCTGACAAGCCCTTTGAGCTCATTCCGCATCCTCGCCTTATTTAACCTTCGATCCAGCTCTGGGTGACGGTATTTTTTAACAAAGCTGTCAATGCGATCAATCTACAAGATATTGTCACGAGTTCTTGCAATTATCCACAACCCACCGCTCTTTCATGACTGCTGGTCTACCCAGATAAGTGCAGATGTAGACCCGAGCTTCTGCTCCTTGTCGCATTCCTTCTGTTTGAAGTTCATACTTGAAACCTGCTTCGAATTGGTCTTCCCAATCCATTATCTGAAAAGAATTCCTTTATCAGGCACAACAATAACAACATATGACAATAACGATTTCCGAAGAGCATCAACACAATCATAAGAGGTACGAACAGAAAAACAAGCGAAAATGGTCTCAACAGTGGGCTAGAAATTTGCAAATGTTTGAGAATTAACCCATAAAGTTAAAAACGTTCAGACAGCAGAAAACAACAGAAAGAAGGTATAGCGCAGTATGAAAATGCTAAGGACGATTCTGGTTAACAATATAACCTATAGTGGCTGGTTTCGGAGCTAGCTCTGAACTTCTTCTTCGTCCGATTCACTCTCACTAGGAGGCAAATCAATGCCTCTACTCCTGCTTTCTTCAGCTTCTCTTTCTAATCGATTTAGATAAGCAGTTTGTTTCTGAATAACTTCCTCATGTGTACCACAACTCGCATAGCTGTCCAGCAGCTCACGATTTAAATCGATAAAATGTGGTCCCCATGTGAACTGTTTCATCAATTCCTCAGCGGCTCGAACGTGACCAATAATATAAAGACCTTGAAAAAACATTCAAAACATCTGGAACACCCGGTATGACATGGTCGAAGCCGTACCTGCAGCCAAGGCCTCAGCGCATGTAAGGTGGCATGGGCGTCCGTAATTCACAGAATTAGCTGCTACCAAGTACGGTAAAAGGCGATGTTCAGGGGCCTTCACCTGCAAATCACGGACATGCATGGGATACATGGGCGATACACATCAGAAATCCCCGCATCACACATATGTAGCGAGATAAAATACCTTATGTAGCGGTGTTCTTTCAACCTCCTTCCATGAGCAGTCAACCACTCCCAACCCGTACTGGTCGATGAAATCACGATCGGAAGGTGCTAATGTCGTCTTGCCCGTGGGGCTCAGGACTAGGCCAGGAAATCGACTGCCGAGGCGCACCTACAACAAACACGGCCATGCGACCTGATTTAGGCAGGTAAAGGACTAATCAATCAGTGCGCTTGCGGCAGCTTATCCTTCAGTCTTCGTGACTAAAGAGACCTGGCGATTTGGGGAACTCAGTGATTCGAGAGATTGCGCGACGAGGAAGGTATAGGTATCGATCTGGTGGTTGGGGACAACCGGCATTTTGGGCGACTCAGCGTTTCGAGCGATCGCGCGATCATGGAGTGCATGGATATCGACGGGCGCCGATCGATACTTATTCACTTCCTTGGCGAACAATCTCTCGAATCGCCGAGTCTCCTCACTGGCAAGTATGAACGCAGCCTAAGGAATAACCCAAACTCGAAACAAGAGAACCTTTTTGTAGTAGAGAATCGGTTCTTAAACTGAAAAAGCTACGTCGCCAACAACCTCTTCTACAAGTATCAACACCCGGACTGTAATAGCTAGTAAATCTTGTACTCACTTCACTAATCAATCCAGCTCGCAACAACTTCCTCCCTGAACATCGCTTCGGATCACATTGATTGAAGTCATACATCGCCAATTTGCATGGCATCTCGTACTTCTGTTCAGACTCCGATGATGTCCCGTCGGATTTTTCGCCGCTTTGTGAATCCTCATCGTCACTCCGTGCCGATGGCTCAGCATCTCCAGCATCGACATGACGAGCTCGAGCAACTTGCCTCACCCCTATGTGACCGCCGTCCGCTCTTTCCCATGAAGGGTAGACATAAAAAGAGGCTTGTAATCGTGTGTTGTCACCAATATCACAGAATGAGCAATAACATTCGTATCGAAGCAAACAAAGAGCGGGAGCTTAGCAGAAATGCAAACGACCCTTCGAGATGGCTCAATAACTTGACGTTAAGTTTTCTTATGATCTCACCACACATTATCATGCGCATAGGCCGCAGACAGTTCTCAAATGCCTTTTCAGGCCGAACTATACCTTTCACTTTTCCAAGGCCAGCTACATGGTATAAGACTTGCCTAGTACGATAAAATGGTCTTGTACACATATGTTCTCCTTAAAAGCGTAAGTTGAATTTGAAGGGACTGATTAAGTAAGAGTAAGATTAGTTGATCCCCTAGTATACGGCTTTTTTTTCATCTGAACGGATAATCAACATAGTTTCACTAATAGCACCATACCTGCCTAGTATACGGCTTTTTTTTCATCTGAACGGATAATCAACATAGTTTCACTAATAGCACCATACCTGCACCTGCAGAATCATTAGGTAGTGGCCACCCTTGTACAATAACCTGCCGTCAAATATGCGACCCTTAAGGCCTAAAACATGACGCTACATAGGGTCTTGGTTACCGCGGATGCTAAGGATTTCAGGGGCCAACCTCTCCACCAATTGTGGAAGCTAACAAGGGACCAGCGTAGGGGGAGAACAGGTCGGGGCCGCAGCAAACCCAGATCCCCACCTCATTCCCCCAACGTAAAACGCCACAGCATCCGCAGCGAACAAAGCTGGAACCACTTCTCCGGATGCGGCACGCACTTTCAGTCTTAGCTGCAAGCCTCGGACTTAATCTGCTCCAAAGGATGGAAAACTTGGATAGAAGGGTGGGAATCGATTACGATTTAACAACTAGATTGAACATAATTGAGCAGCACCTGCCAAATTAACTTCCTTCTACCGCAAATAAGAGTATGTATCCGATCAGAGGACTCAACCATGTTCACACAAATTAGTCTGTCCGAGCATAAATGTTTTATAAGCGCATGTATAGAAGAAGCCCGCATATGTATAGACTACAACTGTTTCTGACTATCTCTCGGTCCGTCTAATTAAACGAACACACCGAGAGTAGCATAAATCTGGTAAAATATTACCAAGTGAACAACTGGAATTGAAGAGTATTTCAAAGGAAAGTTATGCAGAATAACATATACATATATGCATATCACAGACTGCACAGCACTTACACTTTTCGGACGTTAGACGAACTAAAAGGCAGTGGGAGCGAGTGCTGGAGGAAGGCGGCTGCTGCCACTGTCTTTGGTGGAAGGGCTGAGCGACCCCGTTTGGCACATCCTACTCAGCCCTTCCAGCAATGACGCTGGCGACCGCCTTAGCCATCGTAACCTTTGCCTTTAATAGAACTGAGTTCAACGAAAATGTCAAAGCATACAAAACTATAGAGCAACAGTCAGTTTGCTATGCCGTTGAAAGAAATAAATCGCGATAATACAAAGACAGGAACTGGGATTCATACTGACAAAGCAAATCGACAAGAATAGTTCACCTCGTAGGAAATGATTGTTGCTTTCGAAAGGATACAATAACTAAGCGATTATGATACAACAACGATGTTTCAACGTATTTACAGAAAAAAAAAATGAGAAAGAACGATGAAGCCTCAACAACGACTGAAATCCCACAACTTCACCGTCTTGTCGTACGAACCAGATACAATCTGTCTATCGCTGAACTGAACACAGGTCACGCCATCTTCGTGACTATGCAGCGTGCAAAGGCGTTGGAGGGAGTCCACATTCCAAACCTATACTATAAGCATTAGAAGACCAGAAACTTCAGGATACTGGAAAAACTTTCAGACTTCCAAAACTACGCAAGCTAAAAAAGGTAAACGCTTGAGGGATTATAAGTTCAAAGACCTTTGCTACGCGAAACTCGAGCGCGACAGTAAAACTAAGCCGCTCTCCAACGACGCATTGGATAGAATGACCTCGTCTTCGAATGGATGTAAGAATGCGTTCACACATTGCATTAGCGCTTTCATACGGCAGAGTACGCTAAACAAGCTATATCAATACCTATACCCCTTGGTCGCCGAAAACGCCCCACACACTCAAAACCTGCCGTACGCTCAAACGCTGACGCGAAGCATGAACGCACTTTAGGATGGGTATCCACCGATATTTCCTCACTGCGACAAAGGCCGTCAAAAAAGTGTTAGCGGGGTGGCACTCGCACCCAGATCTGATTTTGATCCATCGTGCAGAACCGTAGATGGTCAAGTCAAGAAGCTAGAAATACTCTATAGTTTGTGCACGTCCTTGCAAGGTTTCGCAAATAATCCCCACCCGTTTAGCCTCAGTGCTTAATGAAAATCACAAATAGTATCTCTCTCCGTCAAATTTATGCGCCATTACTAGCTCAAGTATTTTGCCTTTCAGTAGAAAAACACATATCTGGGCAACAGGATTTCCTGACCAGCTCACAAATCAACACGTATCAGATTTGGACGGGGAGAAAAAAATTAGCTCATATCAACTGCTCTGTGTCTCGGGTGGGTCAAATCGTAATTAACGTCACCCTCTCAAAACCGTGGGTATGGCCCATTCAAAAACTGATGGTTCAGTGCCTTACGTGAGCCCACGCGTGTCTTTATGAGTGAGTGAGCTTAGATAAGGTAGCAGTGATGGAACAAAACGGGCTTAAGATGAGAACATGAAACATCGAAAACGTAGAAAGAAAAGTTCAATACAACATACAAAATGGGGCAGGCATGGACTGCACCAAGTAGACTTTTTTCCTGCATGAGGATGTTCAACCATGGGTTTAGGAAAAGACCATTCCATCGACTCAAATATTGCGCAATTTTATGAACGAAAGAAGGATTAAATTGTTGCGCCGAACCTCGGGAGGAGCAAATCAATCAGTGTAAAATAGTTCCAGTGTATTGCCACAAGTTTCATAAAAATAAAAAGACAGGCAATCTTGGTTCCCCCTCTCCTCCCACCTTAACTGTAAGCCTGAAAACCAGTTTTTGTGACCTGACGTTGCCTCCTATGGCCTTTACTGCAATAACAAAAGATAAGAGCAGCTTGGTATGTTAACTTTCGTGATTCGTGACGACACAAGGCAACATACGAATTTTACATCACGTCGACAATGCGTCCACACGTCGATGAAAAGTAGCATAAGTGCAAAATGCCCCCCCGTAGCCGAACTGCCCAACAAAAAATACCTTGATGGTTCTGTCATCGGCTGCGCTAACGATTCTCCATGTGTCCACTTGAAGGCAGCGCACCACACCAGTATGACCTTCGGCTAATTTCCAATCAATCGTATGCATGCATCTGAAGGACGAACTTTCTATTCACATACTACTTCACACTGAAAACAAAAGTCTCTCTCATTTCTCTCACAGTACTTGGGTACTTGGGCATGCTAAATCTCAGACTGCGATTATACCCTGCGATGCCGACATCTACGTTGGAAGGAAAGCATGTATACTGATTCGACGTAACCAAAGATTTCCGTGGCGAATTTCGGCGACTACGCCCAGATTAGATTCTTCACTGTCGCAAGCTATGAACGCGGCCTTCCGTCGGTTACGTCGGATCGATACGCATCTCATCTTCTCAGCACAGCGGTCGAAAATGTTGATTGCGCCAACGGTATCGCAAAGTATTTATGAACGCAGCCTACTAGGCAGCTCGCCACATTTCTGATAATGAACATTTCGTAGCAAAAACTCCATCTCAACTCACTTTCCCGTTCGTACATCCCACATTTTTATCATCCTATCAACACTACCAGAAACGATTCGATGATCATCGAAACGAACGCATGTGACCTTAAAAAAGCTTCTGAAAAAAGTACAAACGGAGGTAAAATGATAATTCTTGAAAGGCACGTACCGCGTTATCATGCGCATTGTGTATCGTCATTTCTGGCCTTCCCGTTCTTGTATCCCAACACTTGATGGAATTATCAGCCGATCCAGAAACAGCTAATGAGTCACGATCACGATACTGTACGCATAGCACTGAGTCGTTATGGCCACTAAAATACAATAATCAGGCCATCGGACGAGTATTGATTTAGTTCGATTCTGATACAATTTTGAGCGCAGTTTAGCTTGGGGGCTTTTTGCTGGTTCCCATCGACCATTGTCGATGTCTCCTGTGGAAACCTGTGAAATCCTGCAAAGCTGAATAATAGCAGGGGGCTTCGTTTAAATTTCGCAAGAGTCCACAGTTTTCATCAAGGTGTTATGTGTAATTTATCAGGAACAAGAGGAACTAGAGAAAAATATTCCTCCCGAACCAAACAGCAGCCCTTTTTCCCCAATCCAAGGTCTCATATAATGCAGCGGACATTTTGGTGCATCACAGCCCTCTCTACTTTTTATCTGACTTGACACCATGCAGTAATATTCGCAAAAAAACTTTGCACTTTACAAAAGTGTAAGTCTTCAACAGTCTCTGCAAAAGGCCAGACAAACTGCTTCTCCGAAGTAGTAGTGATACATATGAAGCACGGCATGAAATCTTACTTGGTTTAGTACGTGTTGGACAACAAAACTGCACACACAAATCAAAAAAAAAATCAGGAGGTGAAATAAGCAAGTTTGTTTCCTTGCCGAAATTACAGACAGCGCTCAGAGGGAAAGGTAGCCTTAAATTTAAGAAAATAAGGTATGTGGTTCCACCTGGGTTCAGGTGAAACTTGATGAACCCTGTAGAAAACTTACACAAGTGTTCGCACACAAGCTCCAGTATTCAGCGACCATAACTTCAAATGCATATCATATGATCCACTTATTAAATGTTCATGATCCATCTGAAAAGCGATAAATTGGAAATCGTTCAGTTTAAGGAAAGAAGGAGCCATACCTGTAGACATCTGACATAATTTGAATGACCAAGCATTGTCATACGGCATCCGATGGAAGACCATCTCGGATTAACATCGACATTCCACACTTTGATTGAAAAATCATTAGAACCAGATACCAACACGTTTCCGTTCAAATCGAGACAACGAACGGTAGCGGAGTGACCGTTCAACGCCATTGTTCCGAGATCTGCAATTGAAAACGCATAAAAACCAGAAGGTACAAAAACCCGAAGTTTTTATTGGAGAAAGGAATGAGAGTCATATCGAAGGAGAATAGAATTAACTTACTCCCTACATCACTTGACCCTCTCAAATCCCAAATACGTATTGTGGTGTCAGAAGAACCACTAACGATTCTATCGTCATCAAATTGTACACATGTAATTCCTTGAGTGTGACCCGTAAAATGTGCGCACGACACAACTGAAAGTCAGAAACATTTTTGAAATAAGATCATTTGATAAATATGTAACTTTTCTGAATGGAGTCCAAGCAGAGTTAAGCCATCTGACTGTTCGTTTTTTTTCCGGATACTGACAGGGAATGTTGCTTTGCGGTGAAGCGATGGCGCGTCCCGAATTTCTTGATACAAGAAAGGCTGACGTAGAAAGGAAGCGGCAGAAAACACAAACGAATGCCATTCAACGATTTATGCATGATTTATGCATTGGTGGGACAAAACCAGCGATAAACCCCGTCTTGCCGTTAAGTAAGGGTTTTGCAAAATACGACCCCAGTAAAATTCTCATGCTGATCCTAACTACCATCTTCCTAGATTCTCCAGCCTTCCTACCCCAAAAAAAACGACTGAAAAAAAATTGCTGCTAAGCGGGTTAGGGGTGTATTCGGTGTGTATGGCGCAGTTGAAAAGAAAAACTGCGCAAAAGTTAATAGCTGAAAATAAAAGAAGCTAAATGCGACCTCCTTCGCCTCTGCAGCAACCAAATACGACCCCTCTCTGGGGATCCCCAAAGTACGCACGTGATCTTCCCAATGCACCATCCTACGTCATGAACTGTGGTGACCAAATCGAAGCAACTTACCGTCCTGCGTGCCAATTTCTCCAAAGTCTGTAGCGTTCAGAGAACGCTTCTTTCCATCGAACTGTACCACATTCGGACGTGTGGCTTCGTAACTGCGATGATTCTGCTTCCGCAGAACAGAGACGAAATTCACGTGGTAATTGGCATAGCGTTCGCCATAGCATAGGTTCAGAACAAACAAGGCGCCAATAGCGAGATACACGAGAACTTCGGCAGAGGGAAACTGAAGAATGAAGGTATAAAGATGCTCCAAACAGGACAGAAATTTCACAGGAAAGGTATATTTTCTGCAATGTGCGACATTA